ATCCATAAGTGTAGGCTGATTAAATGGTAAATTGGCTTAAGGAGAGATGGTGTAAGACGTATGTATCGATCTGTTGTTATAGAGTGAATGTTTTTCTCTTTGATTACTTCGAAAAATAAATGTAGTATTTTCAAGTATACTCCACCGTCTACCGACGAAATAGATCCAAATTATCTATGAGTATCTTGAAAAACAAGAATATTATATACTTCCAAATGGACTCAAACAGAAATTAAATATGTTTGAATAAGTACTTTAATAAGTACTTTACTAAAAATTTTACGTTCCTTTGAATCAAAACATTTGTATAAAGCGACAATTATTTTTATATATTATTTTTTAATAATTACAAATATTCGATTATCAATTATTAAAATTAAATATAATAAAAATATGATTAAAAATATAGAATAAAAGCTACTCTTAAAATCTTTACACATTTATACATTCTTTAAACTAACGATTTCATTCTTAGAATTTGAGTACTATTTGTAAAAAATTTGATTTTTTACACTATCGTAGTTCCTATTAACTACTTATAAGTACATTTCTAATCTTACAGGTATTTATTCTAAAAATCGAAACTAACTCTGTATTGATTATTTCACAAGTAGGATGTATGGAATATTATTTCTTATGAATATTACTCGAATCCTAGAAAATGAAAATTGATTATTGGATTTTGACGTGGAGTTTTAATATATAAATTTCTGATCCCTAATCTTTAGTAATATTGATTTTTATATTTAACTATGATTTATCTATAGATTTGGTATCGAAGCCATTACGTTAGAAGGGTTCAAAAAGTCCGCAAAAGAAACAGAAGCGAATTTTTATCAAGTAGGACGCATAGTGGAGAGTATAGTGAGATCACTTAATAATTTATTAGAGCGTTTCCATCAGTCGTATTTTTTCTATTTATTACCTTCCACTGATCGATATATTTCCATTGGTAAGAAAAAGAAGTAAATAAATTGTATATAATATATTCCTAATTTTTCAGGCTTAAATGATTGTAAGTGAATAAATAAAAATTATTGTGCAGGATTATATATGCGGCCTTTGGTATTAATAATCGCCAGTGTATTTATAAAGGCATTTTCTATTTGGCAAAGACTACAGATATCGAATGAGATGAAAAAGGATAAGGAAGATTTATCAAATAAGGTAAGTAAAGCTTTACGTTTGGATAACATTTTTTTTATTGCAATTTCCCGTTCTGTTGAATAGGTCGAAGAATTTGACATCGGAAGTATCGCTTCCGAAGTGCTATGGGCGCACATATTTGGTGTATTAATAATGGCTTCCCCTCGATTTTTTACCTTAATCGGATCGCAGATGTTCAATTTACGTACAGAAGACTCATTGTACATCAGTTTCGCCCTGATCACGATTCTCACATTGCTATGGCGCTTTTATCTAAGAAGGTAAAGGCAAGAAGTGTACGTATGTGCAATTGTAAAATTATTTAATCGTGTGTTACTGATAAATGTAATTTGCAGATCAATCAAATATGAAAATATATCACTTGTTTGCGTCATCGCGTTGATCGAGCTGGCCACTGCGCTAATGTGCGTGGCCATGCACAATTTTTCATTAGCTTTAGTAACGGCCGTTGTGTACGTGCCAGTTATATTGTTGATAACACCGCACCACGAATCCGCATCCAGGTAAGCGCGATCGAAGTCCATTCTTACATACTGTCGCGAGCATTTTCTTCCATTTCATGCCCTGGCGATTAACGATACATTAATCCCGCTTTTGCAGATTCCGTTGTAGCCAGTATATCGCTTGGATCATGCTGCACCCGTTCGTTTCATCGGCGATCGTCGTGATGGGCTACACATATCTTAATTTCCCCGCCGACCCCGTACCATCTCTGCTTTTCAGAAGCTACCGCGCTAATAAGCAGGCGCTCGTATTCAGCATCGTCGACTCTATGATATACGGCAATTGGTTCTATAACATCGCCACTGCCGTCAAGCTACCGATGTGGTTGTTGTTTTGGAATGTTATGCGTTCTAGCATCGCGATTCCTTCGCGATAAGATGATTGTGTAACTTACGATCGAATTTCCATCAGCTCAAATAACGCTTAGCGATAATATTTCCAGCGTTGATTTTTCTTGCGTCTAAGTAATAAACCATTGATTCGACTCGTCGATGAATATCCGGGGAAAGTTGTTTGCTCCTTGGTTTGCTTTCTCGACAAGCAAAGTAGGAGAAGTGCATTTCGAAAGGAGTCTTCGGAGGTCGACTTATTTTCTTATAAGGTTCGTCAATAATACGTCAGCTAGTAGATATAGCGTATCACTCAATGATAACCCTTGTGACATTCTTATTGTATCCGCTCGACTAGTTTAGTGTGTGCGGTGAGCGCGGTAACATTGGACAAGTACGTGGTGAAATACCGATGCGTTGAACGGAAGCGGAGAGCATAACGGTATGTATGGGTTTTTATTTTTCCTACAAATATTACATATGACGCTGACACGCGTACGATGATACTACGTATTATTCAATTGTGAACGATCCTGACGGAACATTGAGTGTTGATCGCCGCATATTATTTCATCTAGTCGTTTCTGACGGTCAAGTGTCGCAAGAAGTGCCGTCAGACGCAATCGCGATCTCCTCGAGCTACGCGTGTTTATGCCTGTATGATGAAAATCATATTTAAGCATTCTTTCTTCGTTCAGTTTTTTTTTCCAAATGATTCCTGTTACTTTGCGGAAATTCGTGCTTGCAACATTGCAATTTGTAAACCTATGTAATTTGTTATGTAAGAATTACACGTTTCATTCCTAATATTCGTCTTACCATCCGATGCACTTCAAAACGTGCAAATCCTTAATACCAAGAATATATCTCTTAATAATAAATGAATTTTCTTTTTAGTGTAGATTTTAAATGAGGTATTTGCTTACTGGTTATTTCTTAAATTGATGTCGAATATCAAATTATTAAAAAGAAACTTTTGTAATGGTAAAGTTTACTTGCAATCAATAGGAAAATAAAGATATTATTTACTCAAGTAAATTTTTCATTCTTAATTTATTAAAAATCTGTTGTCTTTTAAATAGGTTTGATATATTACTTAAATTTTTTTACTTGGAAAAATACGATAAAATTCCTTAAAATAAATGCTTAAAATTTGCCATTGTGTTTCACTCTTTATAAATTATAAGTATCTTGAATGCAAACAAATCGAAGACAAATAAGTGCGATAAGACACGGTACTTTTTATCATGATTACCTGTTTGCATCTTATATTTTGACTTTATCGCGACACGTGTTTTGAATGAGATAAAAGCACAGGAAGTGCAATGTACCGAAAATCATAAACAACCTTTCGTAAAACTCGTAAACAGCATTTTACA